ATCAAGGTCATCCAGCTTATAAGTAGTCATACTGCCTAAAAATTAAGGCATATTTCAGCCTTGCAGAGGCCCTATAAGGCGCTGTAACTAGGAAAATACAGTACATGTACTGTGCATACACTGTATCCTTTTTAGTTTTTAGTTTTTAGTTTTCTTGTTTTTTTAGAAAATTGGAGTTTTTGCACTCTTGCACACCCTATCTAAGGTGCCACCGTAGTGGGGAGCTGCGAGGTTCCCATTGACGGTTTTCGCCCCGACGTCATGCAGTGCTGCGTGCTGTGCGAATAGCTTCACGAGTGAATGGTGGTCCACATAGGTGGTAAGTGAGGTATTTGCCTGCTCCAACAACGATGCATTATCAAATTGCAAAATATTCATTTTTGGCCTCATTCCCCCTCGTTTCTTCTCGGGAATAGTCATTCTTCATTGTCGGTTAATCATTGCATTGGGTTTTCTATAAACAGCAGCATCCAAGCGTAAAAGGTCTTTTGCAGAAAGAGAAACGCAGCCCAGCAAACAACAAAGCAAAGCCAAATAGATAGAAAAGAAGTTCAAACGACGTATCACGTATCCAAATAGTCGGGCTGTCAACGGCAAGGAAGGCGTCGCCTGCGAACAATTATGCCCACCGCTGCATCGTCTTAATGGCCTGATTCTTCGACTCGACGTCCACGCTCCAGAATCCGCCTGCCAGATTCGCTGCTCTTCTGTACACTTGCAGCAGCTCCAGCCTTTGGCAGTTCAAAATCCAGTGTGGCGGTTTTCTTTTCCTGCCGCGTGTCTGCTGCCAATTCCTCGGCTGTCTCCAGTCAGAGGCGACTGCGCTCTGCCGGCTGGCAGAACAAAAGGCGGTGGCATTGACTCTTACCATTCTTGAAAGAAGAGAAAAAAAACTTCAAAGCCTCCTATATTTGTCCCTTTTCTTGCTCTTCTTTCTCTTCGTCCCTTTTGTGGGATCAATTCATTCGCCCTAGTCCGCCCCCTTGTTCCCACCTCTTCTCTCGTATATTGATATCGACTCTCTCATATATTAATATCGTCTCTCTCATTACCGGCAGCTGCCCGACAACGCCGTCTCATACATCTCAGCATCGACTAGCTTGCAACCAAACCCTAGCCGAAGCATGAGCAGTGGCTATGACGATGAAGGATTTCCCCCAGTGATGGACGATAATACTTGTGGTACCGATGGCGCACTCGACCGCGCTCTTGGCCTTGGTCAGAAGCAGCTCAAATGCGTCCCGGCAATCTTCATCCATGCGGGAGCTGGCTTCCACAGTCATCAAAATGAGCATGTTCATCTTCAAGCCTGCGTTGCGTAAGATTGCCCCTTGTGCCATTCCCAGACCTGCTGCTATACGACACATGTTCTGACTATGGGTTGTCGACAGGGCCTGTGAGATGGGCATGAAATTCTTAAAAGCCGGCGCCACTGCTACCGAGGCGGTTGAAGCTGCTCTGGTTATCCTCGAGAACAAGGAGATAACAAACGCCGGCTATGGCTCCAATCTATCAATCGACGGCACTGTCGAGTGTGATGCGACGATTGTTGATCATTTGGGCCGTAGCGGTGCCTGTGGCGCCGTTCCAAGTCAGTCAATTCTCTTGTCTGGTTTGCTACTCTGTTGAATACCATCTGCTCTACTAACCAGACTGCTATTGCTGTTAGACGTTAAAAATCCCATCTCACTAGCCAAGCTCATCTTGGACACAAGCAACAGACCCCTAAGCCTCCGCCGAGTCCCCCCAAATGCCCTCGTAGGCGAAGGAGCGAGAAACTTTGCCGAAGAGCACGGAATGGCAACTTATGGCAACGAATATCTCGTTTCCAGAAATTCCAGGGATCGTTTCCTGAAATGGCAAGAAGATCTGAAGAGAGCCGAGATTAGCTCCAAAGACATCAAGGCCAGCTCTGCTTCTAACAAGATCAATATGGGCAGTGCCCTGTACCAATATGATGCAGTGGCAGTGACAGATCCTCATAAAGTATTCCCTAGGGATCATACTGCGGCAATCCTGGCGGGGACATGGAATGAAGGCCAGCTTGATTCGCCATATGTCGGCACACCCAATCCAGACGTAAATGCTATTTTTGAGCCTCCAGTGTATCCAGCAACGTATGCTCGTGCTCTATCCTCCACTCCAACGAACACGCCCCGACCTCCCTCGCGACCGACACCGGGGGCTTCAATGCATACGACGCCCACTACCGCAACGAGCAATGTGAGCGTTAATTTTTCGCCTAGTCGCCTGAAACGGCACTCCAAAAACATCCATCAAGGTAGTCGTGGGAATGGCGTGAGCGCAGACGCTATTCCGGATGACACCAGGCTGGCGGATAATTCCCAGATGGCGCACTTCGATGGGGCGAAGCTTTCCAGTGAAAATACCGGTGAGCTCCAAGAAGGTTCAGATGATGACGGGCAGAATCAAGGACAAGGAAGAGATGCCTCCGTAATAAGCATTCGCGGTCTTAAGCGCCCGCTTGACACGTCAAAAGAAAACGAGGATTCTAGCTCACAGGCCGCAAAGCGCCATTTCCAGTTTGATAGCGGCAATGAAGATTTGGTCACGGACACTATTGGTGCTATTGCAATTGATGATGGCGGCCACATAGCGGCAGGATCTTCGTCTGGTGGTATCGGAATGAAACATCGAGGCCGCTTAGGGCCGGCCGCTTTGGTTGGCATTGGTACAGCCGTTGTACCTTGTGCTGAGGATGACATTGACAACGTCACTGTTGCAGCCGTAACAAGTGGCACTGGAGAGCACATGGCCACCACAATGGCGTCACAGAGATGTGCTGAGCGTCTTTATCATGGGACGCGCCGTGGCCCCGCCGGCATCGATGTTCAAGATGATGACGAGGACGCCATCATGGAATCATTCATAGCTAAGGACTTTATGGATCACCCCGGGGTGAAAAGTTGTCATTCCGCAGGCGCCATCGGTATCATGGCCGTGAAAAAGACTAGTAGAGGCTACTATCTATACTTTGCCCACAATACAGACTCCTTTGCTCTAGCATCAATGGGTGGCTTGGAAAAGGCACCGCGATGCGTCATGTCACGACTGCCTGACGGTGCTAAGATTGCCAAAGGTGGCCGCAAAGTTCAGCTGCAGTAAAGTATCAGCAACAAAAGAGAGAGAGAGAGAGAGACGAGGAATCAGGAGTTACTGCTTGGCATTTCAAGGACTAGACCAAGCTAGAAGGGACATTGGGGGCAATTTGGCACCTTTGCGCGTGAGAAGGGATACTGGCGTTGTACTCCAAGTTTTGGTTTTCTTCTTTCTTCTCCTTCATTTAAACCGCCAAAGCTTTTACCTCGTTCCTCTTTTTGTATGATATTCATATAGCGTTATCCCCCTGTATTCTTATAGATATCCCGTTTTCCAGAACTCCTCTATCTTATACCCAAGACAGATCTTGCAGATCGCTTTGAGTGGATATCCATCTCTACACTACCTTGGGTATCGGTACATAATCAATTAGAATGCGTTCCTTTCCTTCTTAGACTGCGACTTAAACTTCCAAACAAGACATCAAAAAAAGCCTTTGTAATGGGCGTGTGTAAATATATCATTTCCTCTCCTTCTTGGCCTAATTATCTTCAAGGACGCTAATGAAATCAAGGCTTTGGCGTCCCTGTAGCACTCCCTGTCTCCTCACGCCCGCTACCGTTGACAATCTTCTTCTTCTTCTTCTTTTTCCGTGGTACAACGGCAGGTTTAGCACCGTAATTGCCGAGTGCCAGCACAGTACCGCACGTGAGACATTCAGCGTTCTCTGGCGGTTCGCAGAATATGCTCAGACAGACGGAGCAGACGAATCCGGTATCGACCACCTTGCCATGGCAAAAGCAGGCCGTTCGAAAGTCGACAGTGTCATGGGTAGGCGTAATAATTGACTCACGAGCTTCTGTATCGGGGATAAGTCCAAACATAAGGTAGGTCAGCAGGCCTTGAGGGTTGGATGCCTTGAGAAAGATGCCGTTGGTGTTGAAGCATGCTTGCTGGAGGAAGGTTGAGTCACCGGCAAGAGCAATGGTATCAATGGCAACTTGGTTGTGAGCGGCCGCAAAGACGGCATTCATTGTTGGGATATATTGAGACGGTTCGGAATCTGAGACGGATATGACGACGATTCGGCCTTTGACGGGAGGAGGGGCGGTGGAATTAACGGGAGCAGCGTTAGAGAGAGTGGTATCCGACGAGCTGAGAGCTTGTGAGGCCTTGTTGATGCGGCAGAGTGCGAGAGTCAGAGCTCCGGAGAGCTGCGTTGTTACTTGATCAAGGTCTTGGATGGTGGTCTCGGCCATGAGACTCTGGATGGACGAGAAGACGGAAGACTCGATCTGTGCGAACTGGGGGTACTTGTTGGCCGATGGTGAAGAAGAGTTGTTCGTCTCAGCCGACACATCCTGCATCTGGACGTCTCCCGAGTTGTCCTTTGCGGCCGCTGGCTTCTGAGCAGTGGGATAGAGCCATACGGCGCGGTTCACGTGTGCGGCTATGACGGCGACCTGGTTGGTATTGCTGAAGGCAAGGTGGGCGTTGACAAAGACGAGGATGTTGGAGATTGCCTGAGCGAGGGAGAGGCGGGAGTCGAGGGCGGCCCAGGCACGTGGGTTGGTGTCGATGACGATGGAGAGGAGGGAGGGAGGGCTGTCGATGGAGGTGACCTCGTAGTGCTCCGAGACGTCGACGGCATCCATGTTGGGCGGCGATGGTTCGTTTTCTGGGTAGGTGGATGGATGGATGGATGGAGTGGACGTAGGCTGGCGGAGACAGCTACGAGGTCAGAATCGAGGAGGGGAGGAGAAAAATCGGAGCTGTTTCGACGTGGCTGCTCAAGTTGTGCAATGCGATGCCGGGTTTCTGAGATTTGGTGTTGTCAAGTAAGGCCAAGAAGAGAGAAATGTTGCGCAATCAAACAGCCACAGCTCAACAGGCACAATCAGAATAAAACGTCAAGACATGTCCAAGACTATGTGGTTCCATCCAACAGCTACGATTCTGTAGATTGACCACCAGCAAGTGACAGGCTCAGTCGTCCTGCTTTGCTGCAAGGCTGACTGAGATCGCGAGATGAAAAGAGGCTTGGAGGGGAGCAAACGCCAAAGCACGTGACTGTCATTTAACCACCTTATCCTTCCATCAGCTGAATTGCTCTCCCTCTTGACAAGTCCGCTATAAGCTCGCTAAGCAAACTGATGCCTGGGGCCAGTGCTAGCGACATAATGGGCTCTTATCCGAAGTCAATTGGCCGATGGCGCCAGCAGAGGTGTGAACTGTATCTGCGCCTCCAGCAGCCCAGCACTCGCGCGCTCCAGCGACGAGGCCCAGAATGAACGTGGCGGCAGCGTGGTGGCTCTGGCGATATCACTGGCTGCTATCCGGACGGCGGTAACGCAGCGCTAACACGCTGGTGACGCAGTGGGGGGTGGGGTTCGGAGCTTCGACATGCTATTAGAGTGGGACAGACGCCTGGTGGGATCTGCAGAGCTTCTTTTTATTTCACCTGGTCTTGGGGGAAGCTGTGGCCTGTGACGTCGCTATAACTTCAACTTTCCTAGACGGCTTCAGCGTCGCCGAGTCTTGCACTGCTCAACATTCTTGCCATCCGCCAACCTGCAAGGAGCTATAACAAAGCAGCAACGAGCCCAGTGCCGCACTCACGACTCGCCATTGCTCGCGTTGCTCTCGAAAGCGTTGCTGGTGACATTACAAATGCAGCCTTGGGCCTGAGTCTGTTCCAAACAAAATCTGAAACAAGCTCAAGATGGCAGCCGTAGCTGAGACTCTTCAGAATTCTGGTCCGGCTGCCTCACTCGAGGACCAGACGCTTCTCATCTTCGCGCGGTTGATGGAAGGCGGCCAGGAGGATGAAGAGACGTGCAAAGACCTGAATGCGCTGACCAAGTTGCTCAACGATGACGCCGATGCGCAGGAGAAGGACAAAGATCACAAGTCCATCACCGATCTCATTGACGGTGACTGCGTAGATACGATTCTGTGCTATCTTGACATGCGCCAGCCGGACGTTGTCCGCGGCCACGCTACTCTCGTCACCTCAGCATACTTGAGGGCCGCAGGCGAGAATGGCAAGCAGAAGCTGTCTACTTTCTTCTTTGATCGAGTCAAGAGAGGCACATACGATGACTACATTGTCGCCTTTTGCGTCGCTGCGGCCATCTTCCCCATTGTTCCGGATCTCTCCGCCGAGCTCTTCCTAAACGAAGGGTTTCTGGTTTCACTAGGCCCGCTAATGAGGAGAAAGTGGAAGAGCCGAAAAGTCGAAACGGCCTGTTTGGAAATGCTAAACGCTTCTTGCATGAACGCTGCGTGTCGAGAGGCCATTCAGAAATATTGCGTGGAGTGGCTCGAGGAGGTGGTTGACCAGGATCTGGACGGGGAAGTTCGTAGTATGAATGCGGACCCCAATGTGCACAGCGAAGGCGGCTCCATCAACATGAGAAGACATTCGGAACAAGTCCAACACCTGGCCGCTGTCATTTTGGCTAAACTAAGAGTAAGGAATCTGAATCCGTTTCCCGTGTTTTGGGAGCTACATCATGGAGGGGGGCTGTAAGAAAATTGCGTAAATCTGTTATGGCTGACTGACTCAGAATGAAGGTAGTACCCTTGAACCCATTAACGAATGACCCAAACCAACCTAGAGTTGAGGCGGCTGTCACTAGCATTGAAGATTTATCCGGCATATTCACCAAGATGATATTACGTGACGAAGATCACGGAAGACAGCATTCTATAGAGGGCCTGGCCTATTCATCGCTGCAGCCCAAGATTAAGGAAACAATCGTTAACGATCCTGAACTACTCAAGAAGCTTGTGGCAATGCTGAAAGACGCCCCCCCTCGTTCACCATCGACATATGGACTTCTTAGCATTTTTCTCAACTTGACTCGGTATCGACCTACTCTTTCTGAAGAGGATAAGAAGATGTCTCAGCTCAAGGCGTACGCAGATGCAGCTGGAAAACCAGCTGCTCCAGACACTCTGGATGACGATGATCATGTCACCAAGAGGTGCAAAGTGGTCTTTGAAGCAGGCCTCACGCCCGTTCTTGTTGCGCACAGCAAGCATGCATCCCCGGCATCCATGGCTATTATTATATCTATCATTAACTCATTCGCCATGACAAAGGCGTTCCGTGGTTCATTAGCTCAGCAGGGCGCTATTAATCTCTTATTAACTGCATGGACGAGTTTTCCGGAAAGAGAAGAGACGGGTCGCCGAATGGCCGCCCATGCCCTCGCACGGATCCTCATCAGCATAAATCCTAATCTCGTCTTTGGAGGAAATCGATCGGTCCCAGCCAGTGCCGCCATTCGACCTCTAGCCTCAATCCTTCCACCAGACCCCGCAGCCGAGAGACGAGACTTACTCCCAACGTTTGAGGGACTCATGGCCCTGACTAACCTGGCTTCGATGGAAGATGAAGAAATTCCTCGAGCCATCATTAGCAACGCCTGGTCTCAGATTGAAGAGCAGATGTTATCTTCCAATAATCTCGTCTCCAAAGCGGCTGTTGAACTGGTCTGCAATCTAATGCAAGCCCCTGAGGGCATAGCCCTGTATGCAGATGGCAACCCCCAAGCCAAGAATCGAATCCACATACTTTTAGCCCTAGCCGACGCTGAAGATGAAGGTACTCGCAGTGCAGCCGGCGGAGCATTGGCTTCTTTGACAGGCTACGAGAGCGTTGCGAAGCTAGTGTTACAGCGAGAAAAGGGCATCAAGGTAGTCCTGGGCATGTGTACGGATGCGGACGAGGGACTGCGGCATAGAGGCGTAGTTACCATCTACAATATGGTTGCGGGAGATGCAGAAGTCTGCAAACTCGCGCGAGAAAAGGTCACTCAGGAGGGCGGCGTTGAAGCTCTGAAGGACTCTCTGAAGCTTACTAGGAGGCCAGAGGTCCTAGAGATTACGGTACAAACTCTGAAGGCGCTTTTGGGACAAGAGTAAGAAGAGAAGGAGGATACGTGCTGCATCTTTTTGTTCTGCTTTGTTGATTGGAATTATATTTCTTTACGCTTGCTTTGGAGCCTACTGCAAAGTGAGAATGTTGGCATAAAAAATTCTGGCGGGCCCCTCTTTTGTTTATTGTGTATTCTCCTAGATGCATGCATTCATGAGTGTGTATTCATGTATTCAATGAGTTAAAAAAAAATTGCATCACAGTAGCCTTGTAATTTCAAAAGGTGGAATCTTCACATCATTAAATCTATAAATCTATAAAGTGTTTTTCACTCCTTTTCCTCGTCTCAGCTCTCTACCCTGTTCAGAACAGCAACGCCCTCAACGTGTCCCGTCTGAGGGAAGAAATCGAAACCTCTCAGGCTCTCAATCTCATATCTCTTGCCTTCTCCTTCGCCCCTCACCAAGACTCCCACGTCGCGAGCCTGGGTATGAACATTGCAGCTGACGTAGACGACCCTCTTGGGTCCAAAGCGTCTCAGCTGGCCGAGGAAATCGGCGTCACAACCCTTGCGCGGGGGGTCAAGGATGACGGTCGTCTCGTCGGCGTTGTAGGAGACGTTCTTGAAGAGCTCGCCGGCGTCAGCAGCAATGAACTTGCAGCGGTCTTCGCCGAGGCCGTTGAGCTCGGCATTGTGGCGGGCAGAGGCGATGGAGTCGGCGGCGATGTCGATGCCCGTGGAGTGCTGGAAGACGGAGGCCAGGGTGATTGTGAAGAGGCCCGAGCCGGAGTAGGCGTCGATGAGGTACTTGATGGATGAGGGAGACGAGGGCGGGAGGACATGCTCCTTGATGTAGTCTGTGAAGACGGGCAAGATGGAGTTGTTGTTCTGGAAGAAGGAGCCGGCGGGGTTGGTGAAGTGGTGGTCGCGGATGTATTCGTGAGTGGTGGCCTTGGAGTCGGTTTCGCAGGTTTTGATGTCGATGCCAAACTCGCTGTCGTTGCGGATGGTGTAAGGGGCGAGGTCTTCTTGCTTGGGTGGTGCAGCAGCAGCATCGCCCGTGGCATTGACGGGATAACGCTGGGTGTTTTCACGGAGCAGAATGGTTGCGCCTCGCTGGTAGTCTCCAAACTCCTTTTGCATCCTCTCTCGCTCGCGCTTCATGCCCTGCCTGACGACGTCGGTGCCGATGGGGCAGTCCTCAATATCCATGACTTTGCGCTGGCCCTTGCGCATGAAGCCAATATCAGGGCAGCTCTCGAATTTGGGCTTGGGACCGCCCTTATTCCTCCTGCTGTGGAAGCCCGGCGGGCCGTCAAAGTGAGGCGTCAGCTTCGTGCGGTAGCTGTACTGCAGGGGGCTGCCGATGGTGTCGAGGATGGCGGGGACCAGCTCGGCGGAGAGGTTGGCGAAGTTCTGGAAGGCCTTGTCGACGATCCTCCTCTTGCGGCGGAGCTGCTCGGCGTAGTCGAGCATCTGGAACTGGCAGCCGCCGCAGGTGGCAAAGTATTTGCACTGGATGCGGGAGTCGTCGCGCAGCGGGGAGGGCTTGACGATGGAGACGAAGTCGGCGACGGTCTGGTTCTCGCGGCGCAGGTGGCGGAAGACTTTCACCTTGGCGATGTCTCCGGGGACGGTGAAGGGAACAACGTAGACTTGATTGGAACCGGGCTTCATGGCTAAGCCATCGCCGGTGGAAGAGAGCTCGAGGACTTCGACTTCGGTCTCGGTTCCTTCAGCGGGCAGGTCTTCTTGCGCCGCGGTAGTCTCGCCGTCAGCTGGTGTCTCTGTCTCGGATCTGCGCGATTCTAGGAGAGCCTCGATGTCGTATCGCAAAACTTCCTCTGAGGACCCCTCGGTAATGTTCTTCTCCCGCTTGGTCTTCTTCTGCTTCCAGCTGCGATTGTTGCCGCTGGGGTTGGGTCGCTTGGGCCTGTTGCCATTGGCGCCATTGCTGCTGGTCTGAGGAGGTGCAGCTGGAGCAGCCGCGGGGGCTGAAGCAGCCGGAGAAGCTTGAGCGGTCGCCATGTGTGCCAATGGACGGAGGAAATGGATGGGTTGAGGTCTCAGGAGTCGAAAAGGCTGCAGGAATGAAGTAGTGATGCTGAGACACGACGAGGGCCGTATCAAAGCTCTCATAGACGACACGGCGATCCGGAGCAATTGGAGAAAATAACGAGAGCAGAATCCACTCTGACGGCCTATGGCTGTAATATCTCGTCGCTAAGAAAAAAATTCACACTCTCATCTGCTATATTGAGTCTTCATAGGTACTTCGTGTCGACCATAGCCAGGTAGAGAAGAAAAAATGTCTTATCTTATCACTGCCTGTGTACGTGCATATGCAGTGTTACCTATTGGCCGGCTCTGATTGGCTGCTCAATAGGGACATGCGCCGTGGCCGCGATTGGCTCCAGCACCGCTTAGCGGCCGGGGCGGACTGTCCGTCTTCCCATTTTTGTGTTGTCACTGAATGGAGCACTTTTGCCGGGCCTTGCACTAGGACACAACTTGCTGCCCGTCACGAGGCCAGAGCCCGGCTGCTGGGACGTGCAGCTGACTGGCACGATGCGGAGCTCGCCGAACGGAGTCTGTCACACAGCCAGCCGGGCCCTTGTGTGGAGATGTCTGTGTTCGTGCTTCGGGGGCTGGTTGAGGTGATGATGCTGTTCTGCAGCGGGCATCAAGCAGCGGGAGGGCGGATGAACCACTGACGACTATTTATATCGATCTCTGCTGAGGTGCATCAGCAGGGGTTGGAGATCTTATCCTGCTGTCTGTCACATTCCCCGTTCCTCGCTCCTCCTCTTATCTGCTAGTATATGGGCCCTCCTCCAATGTGGAATCGCGGGACTTGCTCGGATTAGTTTACTAAGTGTTCCGAAGCTAGGCGCGAGATCTGTCACTGCTAGAGATAACGCACGCCCTGCCGGTTGATTCCACGCAGAGGCGACTCTGTCCACTCTGTCCCGTGTCTCCTGAATATCATTCGGTAGCCACTGCTCCGGGGGTTCCATTAATAATTGGAATAGCCACCCGACGTCCCGACGCCGAAGCCGACCATCCATGGGGATTTTCTAGATCAAAATGAGTGAGTTCCCAACTTTGTTTCTTCACTCCGGCTTTGGATAAAACATCCATCTCTTATATTTTACTATACCTTGGTGCTTGGCTTATCTTTTACGGCCTGTTGACATGTGGATAGAGTCGACGTTCATTCACGGCCCTCGGCTTCTGGGGTCGCTGCTGCTGGCTATTACTCTTCCTCAAGCCATCACCGTCGATGCGGCTGCCATCCAAGAAGTTTTCCAGCAAAATGCGCCTGGGCATATCGGTGGCGTCGCCAGTGAGAGCAGAGAATGCAGCGCCATAGGAAGGGATCTGCTGGCCCGAGGGGTATGTCCGTGTGCTAAAACTGCTAAGATCTCACCCGACCCGAAGCACGATCGCTATCATTATCCACTTTGATCTATGATTTCGTGAACTTATACTAATTTTTTTTTCATAGGGCAATGCTGTCGACGCCTTGGTTGGGACGACGTTTTGCGTTGGCGTTATTGGCATGTACCACTCGGGTATCGGTGGTGGAGGCTTTGCCGTGCTTCGGGATGCCAACGGCGAGTATGAAGCCATCGACTTCAGAGAAGCTGCGCCGGCCGCCGCCTTTGAGGACATGTACAACAACAACGTGAGCGCAAGCGTTCGCGGTGGACTTGCTGTCGGCGTTCCCAGCGAAGTGAAGGGCCTCGAGTACATGCACACAAAGTATGGCGTCCTGCCTTGGAAGACAGTCATGCAAGGTGCTATTCACGTAGCCCGAAATGGATTCCGAGGTAAGTCCGCTCTTTGCTTATACTTTGATTTACTATGAATTGAAAACACTTTTGAAAGTTTTGGTATCTCTGACAAGCGGCGCAGTTTCAAACGACCTTATTCGGTATATGGGCAGTACTCTCAAAGCCGATGGAGAGACTTTTCTTACCAAGGATCCCAACTGGGCTACGGACTTTGCCCCTGATGGTTTGTCTAGATGATCCTTTCTATGTGAATTCATCATATACTAATAAGTCGTGCTAGGTGACTTGGTCAAAGAAGGTTCTTGGATGACACGCAAACGCTATGCAGAGTAAGCGCCCCCGCCTTCAGCTTTCCAACTCCAGAATAATATGCTGATGACTTCTGGTAGCACCCTTGAAAAGATTTCCGAGCAGGGCTCAGAAGTTTTTTATTCTGGAGAAATGGGTAAGTTTAATGATTGATTAGCTATCAATATCGCAATCTGCAGTTGCTAATCCACTATACTATGCACAGCCAAAACCATAGTTGACTTTATTCAAAGCACCGGTGGGACAATGACCCTCGAGGACATGGCAAATTACAAAGTTATAATTCGTCCCGTTCACAATGTCACATATCGAGGTCTTGTGCTTCACGGCATTGGGGCTCCCGCCGGCGGTACCGTCAGTCTCCAGATTCTCAAGATCATGGAGCGTTATAACTCGGAAGACTGGTCCGATCAAGATCTATCCCGCCATCGCCTTACCGAGGCCATGCGTTTTGCTTATGCTGCTCGAATCAGTCTCGGCGACCCAGAATATGTGGACGACGATGTGGAGGGCTTTGAACAGGAAATGCTTGACCCTAAGAACATTGACGCCATTCATGAGAGAATCTGGGATAACCAGACACACCCAGCCAAGTACTACAACCCTAAGAAGTTTTATGTACCCGATAGCCATGGCACCTCGCACATTGCAGCTGCCGATAAGTCTGGCATGGCCGTATCTCTGACGACGACCGTTAACCTCCTTTTTGGAGCTGAAATTGTTGAACCTACAACAGGCATCATTTTGTAAGAGATGATTTATTTATTCTTTCCTTCCGCTTCACAGCTAACCCATAGCGTCCCAGAAACAATGAGATGAACGACTTCTCTATTCCCGGCGTCAGCAACGAGTTCGGCTTTGCTCCCTCCGTCGCAAACTACATCCGCCCCGGCAAACGCCCTCTCTCCTCCATCACTCCCATCATCGCTTCTTTCCCCAACGGCACTCTCTACGCTGTCATCGGCGCTGCTGGCGGCTCCCGTATCATCTCTGCCACCGCTCAAGTGTTATGGCACATCCTCGACGGGCATGACGAAACTCTTGCGGGAGCTCTAGAGCGACCACGGCTACACGACCAGCTCATGCCGAATCACGTTCTACTGGAAGAAATGTTTGACGATGAAGTAGCGGTAGGTTTGGAGAAAAGAGGCCACAATGTGAGCTGGGTGCGACCAACCCTGAGCTCTGTACAGGCAGTGAGGAGGTTCACTGATGGTGTGTTTGAAGCGGCGAGCGAGCCTAGGCAGAAGAACAGCGCGGGATATACCCTGTAGCTGGAGCATAGGAATTTTATTGGGATGAAGGTTATGATAAATATTTTTACCAATAGAGCTAGACTTAGTAGTGATACCATTAGCATTAGCGCAAACCTGGGTTGTTGCTTTCCTATTTATAATCCTTGTGGGATCTCTGGTGTGGAAGAAGGAAACGGAGGTATACGACAATGGGGTATTTTATGACTGTTTCAACGTCTTTATTTTCTAAACTGTATCCCTATATATACAATGATTAGAACTTTTACTTGTCTTTCTTTAGCCAGCATCTTTCAGTCTCTTTCTTTCTCTCTTTTCTTCGACGGCCAATTATATAGAGCAAAACAACGACTATATCTGCATTGCCCTCTTAGCAATGTCTATTAGTATATACCCTCCGCTAACCAGTCTATCAATAAAAGAAAAGGGGGTATCTCCTAGTTCTATGTTCCTAGTATTTCTGCAATAAACTCAACAGCCAAAAACAAATACTTTACTTTCTCTTTCCAAGCGCCACCAGCCGACCCATCTGCGCCAGCCACTGCTCTTCAAACACTTCCTCGGAAAATCTCTTTGCTGATTTCCTCGCACGCAGGCGCATTGCAAGAGGGTCGGAAAGTGAAAGGGCTGCTTCGTATCCTGCCGCAAACTCGGCTGCATTCGACGCATGGAAACCTAGGGGATTCCTGTTAGTTAAGTGTTTAGCAAGTTGGGGAATTTTTACTTGTCTTACCTGTTGGCTCGCCGTCAACTTCTGTGACAATGTCCAGCTTAGGACCGCCACTGTCATGAACGACGGATATCAGACCGGCGGCTTGGTACTCCACAACGCCGATTCCAAAATGCTCATTCCACATTCCGTTAACACCCACAGACGCTTTTCTCGACCACTCAAGGATTTCTGACCAAGACGCATTGATGTGGAACTGAACATGGTCTTTGATACCCAGCTCATTCACCATCAGACGCAGTCTGTACACCCTTTTAGAATCTGAATCATCACGGACGCTTCCAATTAGAATTAGGCGTGCTTTTTCTGCGGCAGCAGTCTTTGTCTTGATGAAATCAGCAAAGGATTGGATAATAAGCGGATGGTTCTTTTCGGGACGGAACTGCGCAATGTATATGAGGACCGGCTCTCGTTGCTTTTCGCTCTCTGCGGAAACCTCGACCTCGTGTTCGAATTCGCTAACAGCCACCGGAGGGTATACGACGGCGATGGGATGCTCTCGGTCTTTTTCTCGGCGGTACGGGCCCCATAAGCTCTTCACATGGGCTTGGGTCCATGTGGAATTCGTCATGACAACATCGATGGAGGATCCAACCCAAGAGTACAGTGCCGCAAAAAGTCGCCAGTATATCCTCTTTGCAGTTCCTCTGGTTCCGGTGCCCTTGCCAGCGTTGACTCCCTGAGAGCCCACGGAAGATGTGGGATCTAGAGATTCCAGCATATCGGTAGAAATTGTCGGATAGTGTACATAGGCACCGGTAGGCACACTTCGGAACAGGAACTTTGAAAGACTAAGTGCAAATGCGTAGCCCATGGTATCAATGAAGATATCAGGCACCATGAGGGAGAAGGCATCCCAGGCCAAGACTATGGAGCCCAGAGACTGTCCCAAAAGTGTAAAGACGGGCCATCTCGAGGCCAGAACCCAGTTTCTCTTGGAGAGATAGAGGAATTGGATCGTCGGGGCGTGGAGTTGGATGTTGAATCGATTCTATACATCAGTTTGATCAGAAGCTGCTTCTCGGCGTTGTGTTGGATATTTCGTTGCTGGGGCTCGTTCTCACCTTGACTCTATTAATGATTGCATCTTTGGGAACATCGTGATCTCCGGTATACACAAAGCACTTGGCTCTTGGCCATCGATCCTGTGTCGCTCGAATAGCAGCCCATAAAACGCGCTCTCCGCCACCTCCAGCATTGCTGACGTGATGTTAATGGAATGCAACGGGGAAATTATCAAGCAACGACAGCATGTGAGGGGCGAACGGCCACCTGGAGAGAGAAGTCATACCAGAACGGGTGGAAGAAACCAACAACACCTTGCCAGTCTTGAGTGGCCTGGAGTTCACCTTTGGCGTCCAGTTTATCGGGAGTCGTCGTGCTGTCTGAGTCCTGGTGTTGATGTAGGTATTTCCTGTGCTCTTCGTCCATCAAGTTGATGAGGTGTATGCGCCGGCCATCTGTCTTTCTCCGCAGTAGCCATCCGATCCCAGAGCCAATCAGAGGAGCAATGAAGAGTAAAAATAACGGCGAAGTAACAAGAATCGTCGCAAAAAGAGCCATTGAGGGGGAATCAAGCCCCCAAAACGACGACGGCTGGCTGCATGTCGCCGCCTCTGCCGAGCACTTGTCCGCCATGCAAGCGTCCGCCCACTTCGAATCGGCAACGTCTGCTGTAAGGCTTCTTTTTTCGTGTCTTTTTTTATCGTTTAGCTGAATATTCGGCTCAAATGTACGGCGTCGTAGGTTATGTAAATGCCCGCAATGCCACAGGCCAGGGTGGAATAGCTGGTGGCATCGCCAGTGATGAGGGAGAGAAGTGAAGACAGCATGTGGGGGAACCTGCCTGTATGACTTGCTACGTCTTGACAGCTTGTTCGCAGGCCTTGGCGAGCCACTCTGGAGCGGCCCTGTGGCGCCAGCTATGGGCCGATGTGGCTCAGGCGCTGAATTTGCTCTGGAGCCAGCAGGGCCCCACTCACGGGACTTCATCACATTCAATCGGCCTTTGTTCCCATGACGATGCTCAGTCACTCGCTGAATCGAGGCTTGTGCTGGCTTGGAGCAACTGCACCAGCGTGTTGATCTGCCTCGTTGGGAATTCACAAGCTATGATTGGCCATGGCGTTCTTCAGCAGATCGGCCAGGGGCTTTGCGATGCCCGGTAGCAGGGCCTCACCAACTCGTCTTATGCAAACGGCCTATAACACATCGCGAAGCAATCCCAATTCCATCCCGGGGCGGCGCAGCTTTCACCTCAGCGCTGTAGGAGATGCCGTATTATGGACAGCTGACAGCATCACCTTTATCCACCACGCCGGACTGCCCTGGTACATCTCCATCCCTCTCGTGGCCGTGGGCGTAAACTTCTCATTTCGACTCCCGATTCAGTATTACACACGGCGCCTTGTGGTCACCAGAAACAGACTGACTCCGCTGGTCACGGCCTGGAGTTCTCGACATGCCATGACAGTGAAGCACGGCCAGGGCGAGGATGCAGAGCGACTGTGGAGGCTGCGAGTTGCTGGTCTGACGGAGAGGTCTCGGTCAAGGATATATAAGAGCTGGGGTGTGCAAAGATGGAAGTCATTCGCTCCCTTCCTGAGCATGGCGCCCTTTATTATCGTGTCAGAAGCTCTACGACGACTCTGTGGCGCCCCCACAGGGTGGCTCAGTCATTCGTTCGGGTTGGTAGACATCCAGGCCGTTTCATCAGCTCTCGAGCTATCTCGCCGCTATCTCGACGAATCCCTGGTGGATGGCGGGTGCCTCTGGTTCACAGATCTCACTGCCATGGACCCTTATTATGCGCTTCCCGTCATCTGTTCGGCGCTGCTTGCGCGAACGTCGTGGGGTAGGCTGTCAAAGGACCAGCTCAAGGCTTTGCTGAGCGTCAGTCCTCCTCAGGTGCCACAAACTCCTATTATGAGAATTCGAACGGCGGTAGGCCGGACGCTTCTCTTGATACCTCTCTTCCCCATCCTCTTTGCCGACCTACCTAGCGCAATTTTCTTATACTGGGCATCAACATTTGCTCTCAACGATGTCAACGAGGCCATCCTCGGGAAATGGCTTCCAAAGGAGACGCAGAAACTATCCAAACCCACTCAGAAGCCACTGGCAGCCTTGCCATATTTACGAGGAACAGTAGATGCCAAACAACAACCAGATGCGAATAGATGAATAAAATTTGATTCAACGCGCTAAAGAGAAAGGTCCAAAAATGCCAAGTGATCCCGAATCCTACCTAGGTATATACATCTTTAATAAGGTGTCAGCGTAGAGTATAACCGTACTATGAACTCCGCCGAAAATAGAGAAAAGGAATCAAAACTCCGTATAGAAGAAAAAAAACTACATAGTAGTTTGGTGTATCGTTTTGCGCAAATCATGTTTAGCCAACAAAAATCGCTAGAAGAACGATGGTCAAAATGACGGCCAAGATGAGTAGCAAACAACAGCCTTTGTTGCGAGCTGCCTTCTGGTATCGAGCTGCTTGACGAGTCTCTACATCGGCGCCGCGGGTGCTTTCGTGAACATTCTCCACGGTGTCGGAGATGGTAATGAGCTGCTGGCCCTGCTCGGTAACAATCTGTGCCACCTGCTTGAATAGCACGTTCAAGTCGCCGACTCCCTGCTCAATATTTCGAATCTCCTCTTCTCGCTCGATGATTAAGGCCTCTTGGAAATCTACCTCATCTTGCGGGGCTAGTTGTGACAGCTGTTGTTGCTGTTGCAGCTGCAGCTGTTCTTCACCCCCGGCGCCGGTAATTTCGGATGCCTGTGCTTCGCGAGCTGCAGTAACGGATGCGCGCTCCTTTTCCAGAGCCCTTCTTTGCAAGCCCTGGAACTCTTGGAGCGCAGTCTGAAAATCGCTCGAGACCTTTGTCTGTTCGTATTTTTGTTGTTTCTAGCAATGTGAGTCAGCTCATATTCCCAGTACGCATAGCAAGAAACAAATATTTGCAAGCGTACAGTTAAATCATCCCATGTCTGTAGTTTCTTCACACCATCGCCAATCTCCTTGCAGATTTCCCGAGACTTCTCCATTGTGTTGTGAACCCGCTCCCGCAGGCGAGGGGTATCCTTCTTCGTCCCCAGGACGTTGACATCGTTGGCAAGCTTGCGGTTATTGCTCAGCAACGACTGCAGCTTGTTTTTCAGCTCGTATTGGAGGTCTTGGAACGCAGGGTCATCGCTGTAGCCGGCGCCGCCCTGGCCGGCCTCGAGACTGGAGAGTCGATCATACGCCATTGTCGCTGCGATCCAAAGGGAAGGGCAGGGCGAAAAGAAACGAGGCGAAATAGGGAGATGTTTGCCCGTGCTTGTTGATATGTACGCTGCGTAAAGAAAGACGCACACGGGATGCGATGCGATGCGATGCGATTCTAGCGCTTGTAAACAACGAACGGCGAATACAGGGCCTTGTTTCTGGAAGACGGATGGATGAAGCCGGCTACGTAACGGTCTTGCGACGGCGAAGCGTTACGCCATGCGAGTCACTGGAACGGCGGCGCTCCAATCAGAGGCGCCACCCGCCATTCCACTTTTGCTTATCGCCACGTGATGCCGTCGATAGACCCTGGCCTGGCGCGTCGGTAGCGCAGCTCTGCCCAGCTCTGGTTGCTGAGCCGGCGATTTTTATTTTATTTACTCCATCAGCGACCTGGTCCATCCACCGCATTATATCTTATCCTGCTGGCACCGTCCATTCTCAACCCGAGATTCTAGTTCTCAGAGGGAATGCGACGCGATCATGGCAGGCACACCGACGCGGAGAGCCCCTTATAAGGACACTCTGCAGCCTGCTTTGCATCGACGCTTCTCCTCAACAGCTAGCCTGTTGTTGGCCGTGTCATACATCGAAGCGATTCTTTTGGGCAGCTGGGACTCCTGTAAGATTCCAATTCTCCTTCCTAGCAGCTAAGTTGCCCATTTCTCACAAAGCACGGTATGAAATGCTACAGATTTCTGGTCTTGGTTCCCTCTCGGCCCCGTGGGCTTTCGAACGTTACTAGTCTTCTCTTGTGGCCTCGCCATCCTCATCCTCCGAATTGCGAGCTACCATGTCGGCATCAAAACCACGGGATCTGGGCTGCAAACATTAGCGTCTTCACTCACCGCCCTCAGAACATACGAGACGGCATTCTGGTATGGTGTTTCGAGCCTGCTCTATTGCACCATCTACCTGGGAACGAAGGACGAAGAGACGAACCTCCAATGGATCAATTATCTCAGCGGGGATCGTGCCAGGCTAAACGAGCGGCCACTCTTCCTGACCTGCTACATGTTTACTTTCGCCCTGGTTCAGACCGTTGAACATTACAGACGTGATATTGACCGTCTGGATCTTGGTTCGCTAGAGAGAAAGCAGGCGGCTGAGCAAAAGAGCTTGGGTTTCGTGTCGGGCTCCCTTCAAACTCTCTTATTGGAGCTGCCCTTGGCTCTGGCCGAGTGCACCAAAGTAGCTCTCTTGACCTTGCCCGCGACAGTCATCATATACTATTTCTTCCTAAGATCGTTTGCCTGGTCATGGGCCATGATGTTCCTGCGGCCATTCTACAACATGCCCAGGTCCAACATGCTTCCGTCTTCCTGGCCGCTGGATATTTACCTCATCAACCGATGCATTCTAGCAGGAGTCGGCCTTGGCTTTTTGTGGGCGGCAGGTAACCGGGCTTTCTCGGTCTTCATGGTTAAGAAGCCTCTGAAGAACGATAATCCCCTAACATCTGACTCTAAGGATCCCAACGGCAGTCTTCTGAATGGTCTCAAAAGCAAGAAGCTCTCTATCAAGGTAAGCATAATGGCCATTGTAGCTAACCACTGGCATCCTCTTCGTAACTGACAATGGAATAATGCACAGGCCTTTGCCATGTGGGAGTTGGCCCTCACTGCCGAAAGCTGCGAGGCACGAAGGCGGAATATTTTCAACGACATAGACCGCAAGGATGGGCCCATGTGGTCTCAGCTGTACTCAATCTGCATGGAAACTTTGAAAAGTGTCGAGGAGCATGTTGATGCTTATGGAAAGCCGGCGCCACAAGCCGCCCCTGAGGCTGAAGCAACTGAAGAAAAGCACCGTTCATCGGCTCCCTTGAGAGAAGACCCCATATTCACAAGCCAATCCAGGCAAACCAACCTGCGAACCGGTCTTGAACAGGCTCTAGAGAGACTTGCGCGAAAGCCTGGTTCAACTCCCGCTTCGGAGCTTAGCCCCATCGCTCGCAAAACGTGGCAGAGCGCCAAAGACCGAGTGCTAAGCAAAGAACAACAAGAAGCGGTCTCTCCCGATCATTTGAAGGATCAAGCGTGGCAATTCGCTACTGGTTTGATGTCAATTGGATGGATTGGCGATCTAATCCGACATGATTTTCGTACACAATTTACTGCTGCAGTCTTGGGAGGTCCCTATGCTGAGCCTACATTGCCCGCCAACGCAGCCATCGCTCTCTGCCAACTGGCTGTGCACAGTTTGGCGGAAGACTCGTATGGCAACGTTCACAGAGATGTCCCAAGCATCATCCGGACTTTAACAGCAATCATCAAGAAGGTGGAAGGATTGAAAGCCCAATTCCCTCTGCACTGGACCGACTACAACGGGCTAAAGGAATGCCCTGAGGTGGACGAACTACTGGAGAAGATGAAGACTGGCTTGGAGCAAGTCGTTTCCAAGTTTGAACCTTACAGCACCGACCTGAGGCTTACACTCACGGACCTGCGGTTTGCAAAAGAAGCCATTGGCAAGCCAGAGGCGAAGAAGGAAAAGGCAAAAGAGTTGAAAATGGTCAGACCTAAAGGAGTGGCCTTTGAAACGAGAGCCAGCGACGACTGGGCGCAGAGGAAAGCAGCACTACGACGAGAGTTCAGGCGGCCAGAGATGGAACAAGTCCGATAACAAACCCAATATGTCATGAGATGGGGACGAGCCGAGACCACACGATGTACTTATTAGAAACTGGAAAATCCCTTGGGGGAAGCTTATGTATGGATGTCACATATCGCATGGGACGATACCGGAGTTTGATGGCTTGCAACAATCACAAAACAAGAGAATAATATATATGAACAAGAAAATGCTAAACAAACAAATCAATAACAATGAATCAATAATAAATACCCAAGCACGACAATCTCCTTGTGCGCCTGCATAATAAGACTCAATGGATGAACGAATGAACGAACGAATGAATGAATGAATAAATGAATGAATGGAACTAAGGCCACAAGGTCTCAGCCACAGAGTTCGCCCGAGAAACCTGGCAGAGCTGGCAGGTACCTAGTGCTGCTCCCTGCCCTGCTGGGTCCAGGTACCCAGTATTAGTGGGCTAGGTCTCGCGTACCTTGCATTCCCTGCGCCATATGCCGCCCATCTCGTACCAGTACATCACTGCTCATTTAGCCCCTACGAGGCAGTACTCCATCCAAGCTCCTGGCGAGGTACCGGTAATTAATTAGCTGGGACCTTGCATCATGTCCTCCTGATCGAAGCCGGCCCACCCTCTCTTCTTCTTTCTTGCCATGACATGACGGTATCACCTTTTCCTGCGCTCCCCAGCAGCACTTACGGCAGCGTCCCGGATGCGTCCCCAGCAGCCATAGCCATGCGACCGCGATTGTACTCCTTATCCGAATCAGCAGGGCGGCGACGAATCAGTTGAGAAGCAGCGTCTCGGCGCGCGCGTCGCCATGGCGCACGGCAACCGCTTTTTGCGCATCCTTTACAGGTCCATCTACATCGTCCTCTACATAATCCTCTGCGGCCTGCTGCTCATCACCCCGGGCGACGCCATCCAGCGATCCGTCGTCAACAGGCAGTGGTACAACATCTGGATCATCGCGTCGGCGTACGTCCTCACAGCGAGCATCGTCAGCTTCATCTACATTGTGCGTCTGTACGTCAACCAGACGGTGCTGGCGTCGATACCGAAATCATGGGTGCCCATCGAAAAGGGCGATGTCAAGCAGGCGGTTCAAAAGATTATTGCGGTTGGGCTAAGCAGGAGCTCGGCCATTGCGTATGCGGCGAGGCCGAGGGTTGAGACACACGATGAGATGATGCGGGATGAAATGCTGGAGGGCGACGAAGACGAAGCGCGTATGAGGGAAAAGCTGATTGAATGGAACGAAGAAGCGCTGGATAGAGATACGCCGATCCCCATGCCGCCGCATCGCCCTGTCTGGGGCACCATCGAGCATTGCGGCTGGGCGTCTCCAAATTCGCCGGATCTACCCAATTTGCAATACGGCACCGTCATATCCGAGTTTCCAAATCTGATAGAGGCGCAAGCACTGCGACTTGCGCCGCCAGACCCAACCTCCCAGTCCAACCCGCCGATGCTGGACCCAGAAGCCGCCGAGCTGCTGCAGAGATCTCCAAGCATGAGTCTCCGCGATTACTTTGGCCACCTCGCCGGCCTGGGCGTTGTTGTCATGGACGAGACCGTGGCTGACTTTCTCGAGAGATACGAAGCAGCTCGCTTCTCGACACGGCCAGTCTGCGATGGGAGATTTCGTGAGCTGATGCACCTCTTTGCGGAAATATTACGATCGATACAGCCCTTAGACCCTACAGTGTTGGATCATTTGTATGGAGATGAAGAGGAGGATGAAGAGGAGGATAGAAGAGGGCCAGGGGGAATAGATGAAAGGGCAGCGGTGGAAAGCGACATTGACAACGACGCTCCGGCGGAAACGATCCCATCTACACCAAGAACTGTATCACGGCCGTCTACCGCCAGCACCCAGCGCTCATTTCAGAGACCGATAAGACGACGCACGATGAATACATATCGCACTGCGCCGAGCACACCCAACAGCAGAAGGAATGTGCCGACGACGCCACGCAGCGTTGGCAGCAATGGTCTCTCGCAAATACAACGTTATTATACCTCCAGCCAGCATTCATCAGCCGCCAGCTTCCGATCCAGGTCCTCGAATGGCTCGGGCTCTGTCATCCGCCTAGCAGATCACGGGGACCCTAACGACTTGCCATATGTTCTCACGTTGACTGAATCGGCGGCAACGAGGTACTAAAGACTCGGGATGAGATGAGGGGGGAAAATAAATATCAAAAATTCATGACTTATCGCGATGTTTATACCAAAATAGAATGTAACTTTATGGAGGCTCCAAGGCCATGGGAAGGATACCAGAGAAGGCAAAATTCCACAGGTTTTGTATTGTCATTTTAGACGAATAACTATAATATATAATATTCTTGGCTCCTTTGCCACTTCCTACACGTTTGTCTTCTTTTTATGTTGCAGTCGAAATCTGTGTTCTTGGAGGCTTCGAGACCATCTTCTGGAAGGATGCAGCTGATTTCCCAAACCGGTAACCCGTGCCAATGATGGCAAGGGACTCCACCAGAGCTAAAGGCTGTCAGTGACGCTACTCCAACTTTTTTTTTTCCAGCGACCTCCAAAAAAACAGTACCTTGATGTGTCAACCCAAACTTTCCCTTCCACCAATTGTCATCGCATGGGGAGTCTAGGCCATTATTTTTTACCATGAGTTTATGACAGCGACATTAAAAGCAATATCCGCTTCTTCATTTCATTCATCAGAACCTCTACTATCTCCATAATCTCTGATCCTTCTATTATCTCGACCTACTTCACCACATAAAAAAAAAAACAACCTCATAAATCAGTCAACCATCAAATCATCAACCCAATCATGCCGTCCTCCTCCTCCTCCTCCAAACCTCCTCCCCTCCCCCTCGCCCCCGACCGCGCCGCCATCTCAAACAAAATCTCCCTCCTCCTCTCCAGCCGGACATCCCTCCTCAAGACGCTCAATCCACCCTCATCAGCCCAGACGACGACGACCCAGCGCCGCCACCACGCCATCAGCTCAGACGACATCGAGCAGCTCTTCTCCGGCCCGCGGCCAAACGAAGGCGTGGGGTACGTGCCGGACGCCAAAGCCGCCGGCAAAGACGCCGCTTCCAAGGAGGACCGCATGCTGCGCGGGAGGTTGTTAGGAAAGGGCAAGGGAGGAGGACGGAATCAAAAAGGCGGAAAGGCATTTGCTGCGGAGAGCGAGAGCGATGAGGAGCCTGGGAGGAGTGGATTGGGGAAGAGAAAGAGGCCGCGGAGGGTGGAAGAAGAAGAAGAAGAAGAAGAAAAAGATGATGTGAAAAGGGATGAGGAGGAGAAACTGGCAGATGTGGAAATGGGTGATGACAAGGGAGAAGAAGAAGAAGAAGACGCTGCTGCTGTGGTGCAAGATGAGAATAATAGCGGTGGTGGTAATGATGACGATGAGAGGGAAAGGAATAAGAAGGAAAAGAAGAGGAAGAAGAGGCAAAGGGAAAAGCAAAAGCAGAAACAGAAACAAGCCAACTCTAGCTCTTGAATACATTGGACACTTGGAAGCCATAAAAAAAATGACAGAAGGGTGTTTGTATGCCATGATGAAGAGAGGTCATCTTTAATAAGCTAGGTGATTAAGACGGTATATAGTATATGCCATCCATAGATATCTTCATGCAGACTTATATCAATTATAATTAAAGAATAGAATGAACCCATGGCACGGCTACCATCTGCTCAAAAAAAAAAAAATTGTTGACCCTAAGTATCACAGCACAGACCCATGTCAAGTCGGCTATATAAATGTATGTATATATATACTTTATTTGCAGCAGACTGCTAGATATCCATAAATATATCCCAATCTTCCCCAATGTCAATACCAGAACAGCAAAACGACGAGCCTATCCTCCCTTCCCATCACTTCTCCTTTTGCTATTCTCCACATTGCTTCATTGTCGACTCAAACTAGCCAACTCAAGAGAAGCCTGTCTGAGTCTATTCCTCTTCGGCCTCTCACTATATCCTCTTCACCACAAGCCAATTCCACCTCTTATAACGGCATGTAACATCAACGAGTAGTATTCAAGTTGAAAAAAAAAAGGGAGGGGGGGTTGTTATCGAGATACTTTTTATTTAGCGCTTCGAACGAAAGTTGGAAGATGGGAGTGGTAGCCCTAGGCAGAATAGGAAGCTTCCAGCAACAAGTATTCCCTCCAAGTTAGACCTCAGACGCCCAAGATGAGGTCAGGCCTTTGTGCTGTTCCTCTCTGGTTTTTTCCAACAGAGGAAAATGAAAGTCTTGCGAGCCAACGATGAGGGGAGGTCCAGCAGCAGTGGTTATGTGAAGGACTCTTGTAACAATGCCATGGGGACAGTCAAGATCCAGTCCAGAGTGCTTTTATTATGCAATCAAAAAGGGAATGCGAATGTGCTATCTCGGGAATAGCGATTATCTTAGATCATGGTTGAAATATTTTTGATCGGTTGGTGTTGACATGTCCCAAATATCCAATCTGGAATTCCAATAAAAATGAAAATCAAAAGTAACGAAACCGAAAACAAATGCGAAGTATTGGTGGATTCTTTAAAAAAACGCCAGCCTTGGAGAGCGATCCCTGGGTCGTAAGCAATAGTGCCAGATCATACGCCATGGTCATGAACCATCCTTCCTATCATCCAAACATGCATGCCAGAGACGTTCGTCGGCATCGTACTATAGTCTTCGTTTTCGCTTCCTATCATCGTCGCCTCGCGGATCTTCGTCTTCATCTGATCGTTCAGCTGTATCGCTGGGGTTTAGAATATGGGCCATGCTACCCCTTCTAGTAGGGGGCGCTGATGATTCTTTCAGTGCCCCAATTGTTTTACTTTCACGGTTCGACGCCGAGTTCCATGACCAGCTGCCGAAAGTATCCGATCCAGGGCCGCTACCGTTTGAAAAGGGGGCATGTGGCGGCGTTGCTGGCCTTGAGAGTGGGTGGGCATGGGTGGGCGCAGGTTGCAAGGAGAATGAAGAGAGTGAGTCCCTCAGCCTCTGGTCCTCTGGCGCAAGCCGGTTAGGGGATTGCGGCCACACGGGTGGTGGCACGGCCTGGGGGGGGAACGGAGGCGCATTCGGCTGCCACCCGTGCGCTCGAATATCTGCGGCAGTATGACGTCTGGCCAGATTGTTGGAGGCAGATTCCACGTTGGAAAGAGGATGGGGCCCCGGGGGAGGGGCTGGCGCGGCATTGCGCAGAGGGGAAGACCCAGCACCGCCGCTGATAGATCCGTAGGGTCGCCGCGTACCGATGGATAGGTTCGAGGGAACAGCTGGTCGATAGGATGGTTGGTTTCGCGCCTGCGGAACGTTGAGTGTCACTCGTCTGGTGTCGTCCTGCGGCATCTGTCTAGGTGAGACGGGTGCGTTATCAACGTTGCCAAAGAACTGTTGTCTGGCAGGATATACAGGCTCATGATGCTCCTCGAGTGAGCGTAGCATTTCTGCTTGCCTCTGCATTTCGCCTTGGATGGTTAAGACTGCAAACTCTTTCAGTCAGTATGATGGCCTCTGTTTCGATTGTATTCCTTGCTGTTTTCACATAACGCACCATCTCGATGAACAGGATTGTCCGGGGATACAAGCGACAGCATTCCCTTGGACAATTCCTGATTAAAGTATAGCAGTCGGTTTAGGGTCTCCATCACGGCTTGGTTCTTGACGTGCATATAGTGGGCGGCCTCTTCGCTTCTCTGTAGTCTCGATGTTGTATCGTATAGGGAGTGCTCTAGGTTGGCCAGTCTAGCTTCAATGCTATCCGCTGGGACCTGAATCGGTTCGACAGGAGTACCAGGTTGAGACGTAGAAGCTTTAGGGAAATTATTTTCTCGGTTAACTAAAGCATGTCGGCTGGCACGACGTTTGATCTCACGGAGACCAACAAGATCGCCGCGCTTGAAATTTCCGTTGCCGTGCTTGAATTCCCAGAGGGTTGTTTCTGGGTTACCAGTGTGGAATACGTCGCGTTCTATATCAGGGTAAGCCATGTTTAGGTCAATTCTTTTTTTTTTTTTCTAAGAAATTAGTGAACTCGGGTGAAATGTACCTTTATGAAAGCCGTACATGTTGAGCTGGCGCACAAAGGAAGAAACATTCGTGTGTTTAAAATATTGTCTAGGATTCCAAAGGTAAGCATATGGTTCATAATTAGAGACTGTATGGCGAAGGGGAAGCCTTACGATAACACCTTGGAAAAGTCGGCCGAAGGCGACATGACGAAGCTTTCGGCGGATGAAGACCATGAGATAAGATGTTGTATGCTGGAGTCTTCCAGCATGCTGCTTCCATCATCAGTAACCGTCACCGATTTCAGGGACACACTCCTCAGCAGCGCTGAGCAGAGCAATCAAAAATCCTCACTTGTATAGCTTGTGAATAAAGGCGGTTTGAACTATTTTGGGTTGGTGAACGGCGGCGGCGGCGGCCGGAGGAGGCGCGGGCATGTTGTTTGTCGTCGCGACGGCGGATTGATCCTGCGGCGACGCATTACCAGCCCGGCCGGGGGTCGACTTGCCATTGGCACCGGGGTCGGCGTCGGGGGCCTGGCCAGGAGGGGAGTTGTCCTCTGGCGAAGTGCCCTCCATCGGATGGTCAACGGGACTAGGTGGAGACATGCTGATGGTAGGTGGCGGCACGGACACGGAGATGGGCACGGGAACGATTCGGGCACCGTTGGAGTCTTCAAGTCTATCGATTGCCGGGCTCGAAGTCTGAGAGGTCTCGGTCCTGTGGGCCATCTGTACTGTGCCCATTGCGGTCAGCCAGCTGCGAATGGGTTGTGCAGAGTGAATTGGGAAGAACGAGGGGGTGGGGGGGAGAGAAGAAGGCGATGGTCGTGGATTTGTAGCGGCGACGAGGAGAAGCAGGATGCATGCGGCGAGGAGAGGAGGCAGCGAGGCGGGCAGCGAGCGTGGAGGCGCAAAGAAGAGCTCGGAGCTGCGACAGCCCGCATTGGCAGGCCAGCTAGCTCAGCGAGGCTCTGGGGACCGGGCTACTCACCTCACCTCATATCTACACCTCTGGTCGCAGGATGAGGCGGACAGGTCGGGGTGTGCCGTGTCGTGGCAGTTTGGGTGGAGTTGAAGCAGAGTAGTAGTGGCAACCAAGATGACAAAAGTGCAGGACAATTGTCGTCGCTGGAACGTGCCCGCACTCGCACAGCTCACACAGACGCACAGGCTCGGGCTCGGACAGGCGTCGATATCAGCCTCGCATTGGCGACGGCAGCCCCTCGTGGACGAAAAGGGCCCTTGTTGAAGCTGCTTCTGGAAGCGGCAGCTGCAAGGCCGGACAGCAGCAGCAGCAGTACCTGGGCCTGGCGCGAGGGCGCACCACGTAAGGTAGCAGTATGTGTGTGGAATGTAGCGGATGTAGCTGTATGCACGATGCTAGTGTAGGCGATGGATGCTTCGCTCTCGGCCACTAGGGACGCCCGAAGCTCGACGATGCAGCTGCTTGGTCCCAGCCGGGAGAGTCGATCGGAGTTGGGGACGAGACGAGAAGAGGCGAGACAGAGGCGAGGCGGTGACGAGCCTCGGGCAGCACGGCGATGGCAAGAGAAGGAATACCTCAGAATGCGGCTGACGATGCAGATGCGCAGCTCTGCGGACAAGAGCGCAGATGCTTGGTGGTAGAGAAGACGGGAAGCCAAGCCGTTACGGAGGTGGGAATGACGGGGGGGAGAAAGAGATGGAGATGATGTTAGTACGGATCGGTAAGGGTATTAAGTACCGGATACTCTGCGCGGCGCACGCCTTGGTGCTGCACACTATGAGACGGGGCGGCATGAGTGTCTGTACTGGGTACTTGTTGCCCCAAAGTAAGCTACGGTACGGAGTAATACTCCCTCCTAGGGGTCGGTAAACTCGCCTTGGAGCTTAGTGGGCGCGTACCGGCACCGGGCGCTGTCTAGGCTCTAGGTACACCAGCCGCTGGAAATGGAGTCGAATGGAGAGCCTTTGCGGCAGAATTCTGCGGCAAAGCATCTTGACTCTATGCCTAATAAGCTGTATCTGCGTGGCCTGAAAATACGGAGCTTGAGCATGGATATGGATAAGTAGCAGTTGCAGGTCCTAGCAATGCTGGGCCCCTAGGTACCTATTTCTGAAGAAGCAGCACCACAGCATTTTGCGCTAGGTAGAGTACCTAGAGTAGTAGCTAAAGCACTTCAGGTATGGGCACAGTGCCTCCCACTACTCGTAGTCGATATCGAAGGCTTCTCTCAACGCTTCATCAAGGTGCTCTTCGTAACTATCCGGCAGTAGGTATCACAGAGGATTGGAGGTATTACTACGAGGTACGCGTATCGGTGATGTGGCTGACGATGTGATATCAAAGCTGCAAGGTTTTGCTTGATGCCCTGTAGCTTATATCCCTACTAAAGACCTCTGCCTACTCTAGCTGGCGTGTCTATGCCAGTTGATGACAGCTTCTGTGCTGTTGCTAGCAGTAGTAGCAGTACCTCGTGCAGGGAGAAGAAGGCCTTTCTCAAGCCTTTAGAATGATTCCAGACTCGAATAATATGGAGACGTACGGAGTAGACGTTGTACGTAATACAACGGGGGTCACTGGTACCGGCACAGAACAAATGGACCAGATACTACCTGCAAGAGAATTAGACGCGTCGTCCCAAGCGAGATGGGGGATAAAAGGAGCAGTATTCGAAATTAGGAAACATAAAACACCCATCCAACCGTTAAACGGATGCAGCTTCAAATAGCAGACGAGGTTCCCCATCATTAATAGCCATGGATGCTAATTGACCGTCGCCAGGGTGCTCCAGATTCCACTTGCACTACCGTAGTAGACGGTCAGGGATCAACGCGACCGATGCTCCCCGTAAGGGTGCTTGCTACGGACAAGGAGAGCGCATGTTGAGCATGCGTTGATGGCACGCCTTTTTGCTCCAGGTTACAATGCTGTTGATAAAATCCTGCTGCTGATGCTACGCCGTTTACCGGTATGGATCCTGTTCCTGTTCCTTTTCTCCAGGGACCGAGGATACATGTGCTTCGCAGAGAGTCGCGAAGCCAGACTCCAGGTATCTATACCTGCCGGACGCCTACCACCTTGGGTAGCACGCCGGTTCTGATACGTCCCCTCAACCGCTAGCAACATCCTCCCCCCTTAGCGCGCCGCCTCTACT